CACCTACAGCAGGCTGCACAGGACCTTGTCCAGGCGGGTCTTGAATATCTCCAGAGAAGGAGACTCCACAGCCTCCCTGGGCAGCCTGTGCCAGTTCGACAGGGCTGGAGCAAGGCTGGTGGGGAGCACTGACCTGTTGTGAGTACGAAAGGGTGCAGAAATGAGAGCTCCGAAATGCTTGGCTGCTCTTCGCAGAGAGGCCGTAAAATACATCTGTGGGGGCGGAATAATTTTATAAATCATTCAAGCTTTCTCTGCGAGTGCTCGTCTTTCTACAGCTTATGTAGCTGTACTGCACTTAGCGATTTTCTATTTTTACTCTGCTTTAAGCTGCACATGTGATAATACTCTGGTTGCTGGTGAAGGTGCGCATAAACACGAGCTGTGCCTGCTGCCTCTGTGGTAGAACCAGCAAGCGTGAGTGCTTACAACATCGTCAGAAAACCCATATGATGTATTGACAACATGCATTGAAAGAGAAAACACTAATATATTTTTTTAACCTTTGTCATTTTAATTTTCCTTAATTGTAATAGTTCCCATAGTTGTTGTGGTTTGTCATCTAATAAAGAAACTTATTCCAATTTTTGATCTTTTAATAACTCGCTGTACATACTGGAGTCTACTGATGCACTATTTCTGTGGGGTTGGACCACACTCTTGACATTAACATTTATGGAAGGTACCATTTCCGTTTGATTGAGAAAGGTTTAGCCAGTAAATAATTCCTCCCCTTTTTTATTGAAAATTCATAAGGAAGGGTTTTAAAGACCGAAGTAAAATTTAAGGTTAAATGAAATTAAATGAAAACTGCAAGAATTTGCTTGACTGATTTAAAAAACTAGGCATGACATTTAATCGTGGTTCATATTTCTGATTTGTATGTTAGAGTCTATGTGTTAAATTGATCTGCTTAAAATCCTGGTCAATAAATAATAACGATGTGTTTACACATCTGTGGTGGCTCAGTCTGGACAGGCCACAATCTATGCAGTCACTTCAAGTCAGATCAAAGATATTTGGGTTTGATATATTGACAATTTTGGACAAAATATTGCCAAAAAAGCATTTGTCACACAGGAGGGATAGCTGATCTCCTGTTTGTTGTTTTATATTTAAGGAGGAGACCATAAAAGATTCGTCTGGTCAGGAAGACGAGACACAGTCATCTAATGACGACCCAGCACCCTCTGTTGCTTCTCAAGATCCGCAGGAGATAATTCGCCCTCGTCGATGTAAATATTTTGATACAAGTAGGTACAGTCTAGTGCTACGCACAGTAATCTCAACACGATTGACCTTTGGTTAAGAACAACTCTAGTTAACATAGTATTCTGTGTCCGAAATGTGCATGTTGATACCTAGAAACGTTTATTCGTTCTCTTTCATAACACTGCTTTTGATCATCGTTATGCTCAAAATAACAGGCAACAAAAACGCCCTGTTTATAGCTGGGTGCTACATTTTCCCTGCAGATGAGGGACTCTGTATAGGGACAGCAGATATCCTCTCTGCTTGAAAGAAAGGATTCAATTTGTGGAAAAATCTAAATTTCTACAGTTTTGAAAAAGCAGCATCTCAGACAGTGTAAATCCTTTCCCGACACTGCTCCGAGTGTTGTAACAGTCCAGTTTATGATCCTGCAAACTGGTTTGTGTAGATGTGCCCACTGGAAGAGTCCAGGTGTGGTAAATGACTTGAATCCCAGAATCCCAGCATGGTTGGGGTTGGCAGGGCCCTCTGTAGGTCACCCAGCCCAACCCCCTGCCCAAGCAGGGTCACCCAGAGCAGGCTGCACAGCACCGCGTCCAGGCGGGGCTGGAATATCTCCAGAGAAGGAGACTCCACAGCCTCCCTGGGCAGCCTGGGCCAGGGCTCCGGCACCCTCAGAGGGAAGAAGTTCTTCCTCGGGTTCAGCTGGAACTTCCCATGCTCCAGTTTGTGCCCGTTGCCCCTTGTCCTGTCGCTGGGCACCACGAGTATGACTGAGTATGGTATTACCTTGCCGTCGTAGTTTCAGCTGCCAGTTTAGACCAAGGACATAGGTAAAAATATTTGCAAGGGGGAAATGCACTGTTCCAACTGGAGAATTGCAGCACGGCGCGTGATTATCACGACAAGGCCTGGTGACACCGGGTTATGTACTCATTCGAAGAAGATGAGGGTCCAGCTGAAGGAAAAAGTAAAAACTGAATTTTACTGGAAATAGAACCTCAGGTTCCTTCAAGATAGCCAATACAGAAAACGAAAGCACTGAAACCTGAAAAAGGCCAAGAGATTGTTAAACCTGAAATAACTTAGGGGGAGATAATGACGAAGAAAATTTGCTTCAAGAATTCCCCATTTGGTCCTGTTGCCAGCATTGTGGACTGATTATTTTCTCTCTTGTTTTGTTTAAAAATTGGTTGGAGACTGTAGAGCTAGTGTTACGTAGCTGTCCCTCTAGACAGCTCTTATTTCTGTGGCAAACTTACTGGATGGGATCTGAACCTTTGAGTCTGGAGCTGTCAGCAGGGCTGTGTGGACAACAGACACTTTTCCTTTCTTTGGTGGAAGTGACTGTCGCCAGCGTTTGAGTTCCTGCCGTTCTGTGTCTTAACAAACACAAGTTAAAGCAAAGGTTCCTTGTGATACCTTGTGCTTGATACTTGTTAGCCATAACATTGCCAAAGTGCAATTTTCTGATGTAGTTTATTGTAATCCAGAAATGCCCAGGAACCTCAGCGTGTAGCTCTGCACACGATTGCAAATATCTGAAATGAACTCCGTTTTATGAACACAGTACTAGCATTAGCATAATGCAAGTGCATTGTGTTAGGTTTGGGGATTTTGGCAAGCTGTGTGTAGAATGTAATTTAATGTACAAATCATTTTAGTGCTGATACTGTCACATGCTGTACATAAACCGGATATTGCAGTTGCTGTCTGTATATTGTGAAAGGCACCTAGCCTGTATCGTAAAGGGCTAAAAATTCACGTCAGTCCTTATCCAAAATAATCTGTTTTAAATGCTGCCGTGCACCTCTGAGCAGTACATCCAAGCCTGCTCAATCCCAGCAAGGCTGAGAAAAGCCCACGTGCAGATGTCTTGCACCTTGTGCTGTGGTCTGCCTTAAATTCAGCGGCAGCTGCCGTAATAGAAAGGCAGAAGAACAGCAGCGACTGAGCGGGGAGCTCGGTGGAAACGGTGCTGGAACGCACGCGTGGGTGCTGAACGGCCCCGTGAAAACACTTTCAGAAGGTAACTGGTTGTAGTCAGCTGGGATGTGGATTGTCTCCACTGCTTCCAAGCTGGGTGAGGGAAAGAAAGCACATTTCAGTTAGGTGGTAGTAAAGTTGATGGATGTACACATTTGTGCTGGAGCTTTTCAGAGCCCCTTGTGTATCGTAATCCATTCGAAAGGTGAACGCTGGGTGGGTCATTTCTGAAAGCTGTCAATACTGGAACATTTCGTATTCGCGTGGGCCCCGTCACAGCTCGTTCCCTGTAAACGTTTGAACAATTTCTTGTAGATAGCGAAATAGAAGAGGAGTCCGAAGAAGACGAAGATTATATTCCCTCAGAAGACTGGAAAAAGGTAAATACGAAGTGCTGTTAACAAAGCCTGTATTTCATGAATGATGAGTTAGTCTGTTACCTAGTAACTCCGAGCTCTAGAGATCACCCAAATCCTCTCCATTTCTTCCTCATAAATGTTAGAGTTTTGACAGGAAGAAGTGTTAAAGACCTCCCCAAGTAGTCAAAAATCCATTTCCATGTAGTGCCCGTTAACTGTATTTTTAGATTGTGAATAATGAAAGTTTTAAGGGGTGAAAAAAAAATGTGGTCATTGTCTTGTTTGCTAACAAAACCCATCACATCTGTGGTTGCTTAACTTCTTGTTTCTGTTACTTCAAAACAGGAAATCATGGTGGGCTCTATGTTTCAAGCTGAAATTCCAGCTGGCGTATGCAAATACAAAGAGAATGAAAAAGGTGAGCCTTGGCACTATTACCGTTACCGCTGCGTTTGAGGTTATTTTCTGATGGGGGGACGTAAAAGATTTGATTGATGTCGTGGGTCTTGCAAAATAAAAGAGCTCCTTCAAGTGAAAAATAGAACCATCATCTCAAACTGTAGTTCATCCTGTACTTCACCACCAGAGCTTGAGTCTTAGGAAAAGAAGGATGATGTTGCTGGCCTCTTGCCTATCAAACCCTTGTGTTCCAGTTTGGTAATGTACACAAGCTTTCTATGCAGCTTCTGCTCACCTCTTCGTCTAGTGTATTTACTTTATGTAAAACAAAATAGATAATAAAGAAATCGTGTTGCTGGAATTGGTTTAACATGCTAAAAGAGGCAAAATAGTACCAGCAGCTTTGACTTTCACATTTGATGACTCTTCAGTCAGCGTTAAAGAACCTCTTGTTCTACTTTTGGGGTTTTTTCCAGGAGCTTTTTACCCTCTCACAACCAGAGCCTTTGGCTGTATGCTGTCAGTGTAATCAAGTCAGGAAAGGCAGACCCAGTTCAAACCCAGCTGTGAGCTTAAAAGCAGCGTATTTTCCTGCTCGTTAGCCCATTGCTAAGAATTTGTTTACCCATAGTTGGAGACTGGCTTTTGTAGTTTTAAGGTTAGTTTTCAAGCTAACCAGGACGAAACTTGGTGCCTTCCTAGAATCCAAGTGTATACTCAGGGAGTAGCAGTGGTCTTGCTGTGAGCTCCAGGTTGCAGCAGCTGCGCCGTAGCCAGATCTAGGTAGAAACTGTCCGAAAAGAGCAGCAGTCCTGCTGCTGACCTCGAGCAGGCTCGCACTGGAGCTGGCACGTTCTGTCAGCTCTGGACTTCGTAGCGAGAGGTTGAAGAGAATGTCATTTAAAACTGTGTGAGAAGTCAGGAGCTTCCATTAAAAATAGAAGATGGCAAATCAGAAACCAGCTGCTTTTTAGCCGTGAAGTTGCTCTTTGCACGCTTTCCTGCTTCTGTCTGAAAATAGAGCTTGAACTGTGTGTTTGCCTGAGATGCAGTAAATGATGCTTTACTGGCCGGTCACCTGCTTTTCCCTGGTATTTACTCAGCTCTAAATGGCTTCTGGCCTCCAATAATAAAAAAGATATAGCTGCTTTGTGCATTGCAGTAACCTATATAAAACAGTTTTTCATTGTCTTGCACACTGCTCTTTGCAGAGCAGAGAGCCTACGTCATGGGCAGAAAACATGAAGGGGAAGAGTTACGTTTTCACTAACCATGCTAGGGCTGTTCTAGTTTTATATCCCAGTGGGGTTTTGTATCTTCTGCCACTTCTTTCCTTTCCGCTGTGTTGTGGACGTAACCTCTGACAGGACTCGTAACTGGAATATTAGTGGAGCTTGAAAAGTTGAAAAATAAATGTCCGAGAGTGTGTATTTAGCGCTTTCATGTACGTATCCCATCATCTGAGCTGTTCTCTAATGAAGGGGAAATTCTAAGTGTTAAATTCCCAGATACTAAGTCCTTTCATATCCAGTCCTGTCAGCAAAAGCACAGAAATGCTAGAAGTCGTACGAATAACCCCACCGCTTTTCAGAATGCGTCCTGACATGCTGCTGTGAGGAGAGAACGGCCGTGTAATCTACACTAATCTAATTACGGCGGGCTGGCTCTCTGAGACGTGTGCCTGGAGACCAGATTAGCTGCTGCTGAACAATTTCAGGTTATGAAAAATCTACAAAATTAAAAGCTAATGTTTTCAGAAGGCTTGAAAATTGAAGGACAGCTGTGAAAACAGAGAGGTGCTGAAACTGCTTGGAGAGTCGCTGACCACTGTCGCTCATAAACGTTGCGGTGTACTTGGCTTGCGTCACTGAGGGTGGTTTAGAACCACTTATCAGTCATCTCCTGAAAAGGGTTGTTGCTTCGGCTGGAGTTGCTATCCCAAGGCACCTAGAATTTTTTTCTAAATGAACAACCAAACATCAGATTAGGACCAGCCTTTGGGAAAAAAGGCTCCCAGAAAATCCCTGGGAGCTGTTTCCAAAGAGAAATGGAGCTGTCTGTCTTTGCAAGACACATCATAATTTTCCTTACCAGTTTTGGATTTTTTATTTGTAGTCTACTTTCCTGTTAAAAATAGTCTTTTTTGAGTAGAAATACACCTAGCCCCCACTATGACCTCTCCACCTGCTCAGAATGCTACCCTGGCTTTCCTTCCCGTGCTGCCCGTTCTTTCCCAAGTGTTCGTGCCTTCTTGCTCTGGTTGGGTGAGAGGCAGAGGTGCTCATGGAGCGATGGAATCAGAGTTCCTTCCTTGCTGGGTTTGGTAAGGTTATCTTCCTTTGAGGACTGAGACACAAGCAAGGTCTGGATACTTTCCCGATTCTGTTCTTTAATAATCTGAATTTTACGTTATTTTGCTGTACTGGTATTTTAATCCTGTAGGTTCTTCAAAACAAAAATGGGAGATAAATCACAGGGTATATCATTTCGCCATGTTCCTCCCATTAATTTCAGTTTACCGTGGCTTCCCTGGTCTGAAAGCTCGTGCAAAAGCTCTGAAAAAACAGTAGAGATGTGGTAGTATTAAAATGCAGTGATCTTTACCTGAATGATTTTGGTTTAGACGGTATTTCTTGAAAGTAGTGGGAAGGTCTTAGCAAAATTTCTTTGTAGGAGCTGGTTTGACTGCAGAATGTCTGGCCTCTGAGTGTTGTCTTCCCTGGAGGAGTAGTGGACCTTGCTGCTGGCTTTTGGCAGCCACGTTAGCTGAGATTTTTATATTTAGTGGTCCAGACACCTGGTAGTGTTTTAAGCACCATTTTTGGTGCTTTGTAAGAGAGGAGAAGCTTCTAGGTTGTTGTTTTAGCTCGCTTTTCTTTGTCCCATGGTGAATTCAGTGTATGAAAACGATGACCAGCTGCTGTGGAATCCTGACCTCTTACCAGAAGATAAAGTGATCGAGTTCCTAAATGAAGCGTCCAGGCGTACAGGGGATGAGAAAGGCCTGGATGCAATTCCCGAAGGATCACATATTAAAGACAATGAGCAGGTATATAAGAATAATTAGGATTTGTAGTTTAATATTACACAGTGAATGTTCCCTTTATTTTATTTTACTCCCAAGAATTAAAATTGTGTTTGAAACAGCTTTATTATTCCTTGTGGAAGTAGAAATATGATTGTGGTTTACCTCTCAACAAACATTAAACTGTTAATTTTGGGCTTAACATTGCTTTATGCATCAATGCATTATTTTATATGTAAATAATTGTGTATGAATGAGTTCTGTTCTTTCAGTTACAGATCTTTTAAAATCTATATAAACGCATACTTCGGTTTTTTCTTCATACAAAAAACCCCCATCAATTTTACGAATGTGTGCAGCGGGTGAAAACATTAAAATACTTTACCTGGATATATGCTTGGTTATGTAATTAGAGATTTGGAAATTTAAACAGAGGAAATATGTCTTTGTGCTGTCTTTAGTTCTATTGCATTCATTCAAAGAGTTTATTTTGAATCTTTTACTGAATAGGGATTAGTGATGTACTACACATGCTTCTGTGGCACAGCATAAACTGAGTGGTATCTAGAATGTTAAAGGTGTGTCTTCTCATCTTTCCAGGCGTTGTATGAACTGGTTAAGTGCAATTTTGATACTGAAGAATCATTACGAAGGCTGAGATTTAATGTAAAAGCAGCCAGAGGTGAGCATCCGCCGCGAGTGACGTTCGTATTGCTGAACTCTGGTTGTACTGGTTACCCGGGTGTTGGGTTTTGCTGTCAGCAGGCTGAGCGTGGCTGTGTGGAAGTCTCAGGTATCGGTGCCCGTTTCAACGCGCCCTCCAGTGAATCTGGGGGTGTTCTGTGAGAGCATGGAGTTAGCAGATGTCGCACAGAGAGGTGCGTGCTCAAAGAGGGCGTGTAAATTAACTTCCTGGCAGTAGAGCCTGATACTGATATCGGTGACTTTAATATCAAGCTGAAATGTAAAATTACTGCTTAGCACCTGAGCTGTGCGTTTCTTGGGCATTTTGTTCTTTATTCTTCTCGACCTTTTCAGTCATCAAAGTTAACGGAACGAACGTGAAATACATAGTGAAGTAATTCACAGTTCTAAATAAAGGAGAATGAGCATCTAAAACTTCTGCTTAAAAAAAGCAGAACACTAAAAAGACCCTGGTCATAAAGATGCTTTTGGAGACTCAAGCGTCTCTTGTTTTGGTATGAATCTTTATAGTCAAAGGAACGAGAAACTGAGAGAAGGCACAGGTTATTTTCCTTGCACGTTGAACTCTGGCTTCTCCGGAGTTTACTGTGCAAATCACAAGACAAGAATGGTCCAACAGAGAAGATTTGTTTGTTCTCCCGCTATTTTAATCCTTATTTATTTGTGACCTTAAGAATCAATAAGGCCAAATCGTATTCCATTCTTAGAAGTGTGGCTGAAAGGTCTGAGGGGTTTATTCTGGCTTCAGTGGGGCTGGGATTTCCCACCCGCAGCTGTGAGCAGCAGTTTCTGCCTAACTGGAACTAGCAACCTGTCGTTGCTGGCTCTCGCAGCAGCAAAGAAGATCTCATTCCTCATTCCCTTTCCCCTGCTTCTTCTGAATACCAGCAAGCAGTCGGAGTCCACAGCGTGACCTCCTTCGTGCCGTGTCCTGGCTGGAAGGACACCTGCTTCCCGTGGTTCTGGGGGCAGAGCGGGGACGCCGCGTTCCTGAGCCCCGCTTCCTCCTGCTGCCGCCGAGTTATTTCCCCCACGGCAGGGCTGGAGCTAAGGCCCGTTTGTATCAGCCCCTGCCAAGGAGCTGCTTCGGGCAGCCGAGTGTCCCACCTGCTCAGCAGAAGGGAGAACTTTCATTTTTGTACTGGGAAGTGATATTTCTGGAGGTGGTTCTCGTTTGGTCAGCAGATGGTGTAACGGATTTGAATAGCACGTATGTTTTCTGTCACTGAAGTTTTCTTTTATAGTCTGTATTCTTTTTTGTGAAGTATGTTCTTTGTTGCATTTCCTCGCTATAGAAGAATTATCTGTTTGGACAGAAGAAGAATGTAGGAACTTTGAACAAGGGCTGAAAGTCTATGGCAAGGATTTTCACGTGATTCAGGCAAATAAGGTGAGCACTGGTTTTAAAGTGTAGTTCTCACTTTTTAAAGCAATGTAATTGTAAATAAATTCTTATCACAGAATCACAGAATGGTAGGGGTTGGAAGGGACCTCTGTGGGTCATCTAGTCCAACCCTCCTGCCGAAGCAGGGTCACCTACAGCAGGC